GTAGTAATAAAAGCTCTGAGGGTTTTCTCTAGGGTTTGGCGATTAGCGTTATTATCCCCTCCATTATAATTATTCGGTGTTCATGCAGTGTTAGGATATGGTTGTTTCTTATGATTAGAACCATTTTTTATCATTCCACCAATGATTGTAAGTATTGCAAGCAATACAGTTGACATCACTAGCATTAGCTTCAACAAAATAATTTATGAGGACTTTCTCTTTACCTTTTATCATACCCTATAAGCTCACCAATTTTTACCCTAAGCTCTTCATTCTTTTGTTCAGTGATGTCATTTACCTTCCTAGACGTGGATCTTTTAACATGCCATTGGGCATGGTTTTTCTTACATATCATCCAGGAGTTCATGTGCTTGAGTAGCTTGTTTTCCCATGATAGTTCCGCCCGCGACAATGTCAAACATGTTCTTTGATAAAGTGTTTAAGGCATTATAAATACATTAAGGATTAGCCATTCCTTTGATGCCATGGTTAGGAAAGTTTATATTGCCTTCCTCATGCATTTGCACTCAAGCACCAAGGCTCGCGGTCTTACTACCTAAAATCTGTAATATTAGCATGTGGTTATACGGTTTTTGCAAGCGGAAAATATTTAGTCATGGGCATATTGCAGAAACTAATTGCTCCTTTAGATAATACTACTAATTAGACATTATTTAGGCTAAATTGTTAATGAAAGGAAATAAGTGTAATGTTTATGTGCATCGGGATCAATATCTTTTAGGCGAGTCATGTCATAAAGTTCTATAAAAATATGCATATGCATACATGCATACTCCACAGCAGAGCCTTCAAATTGGTTTTGCTGAACCATAGTTAGTAGGTTTGGTTTTATCCCATATTGCTCATTTGTGACATCAGGTTGTGCAATAAGTGCACATATATAATCATCATTGGGAGTAGCAAACATCACAAGCTTTTTGTTAGACTTAATACAATTATTTTGTGTTTTCTTAACTTGGAAAATCAAAATAACAACGATAGTAAATAAAAACTAAAAAGAAAATAAATAACAAGATTCTAGTAACCTCACTAGTGTAGAAAATACTTCCCCAACAACGGTGGCAGAAAAAAGGTTGATTACCTTTGACCCAGTTTCGGAAGTAGATATAGCCTACCTCCTTAGAGACCATAGGAACGGATTTATATCGAATCTAGGAAGTGAATTAAGCTTAGTGTATAAGTATCTTGAAGTACTTTGTTATTTCAAAGTGTTAATCAACAATGGCAGCGGTAAACACCATTGCATATATCATGTGAACATATTATGTGGGAGATGCATACTAATAACAACACAACCTCCTACATGGAGGATCTATTGTCCAACCTCAGCCCTATCCAATTCATGGAGTTACAATGTTTATTAACAAAATATCTAGACCAACACATTGAGCGTCTCATAGTCTCCTCAGAGACTTGATTCCGCCTACCATACTAGCCTTAGTGTCACCACTTTCGTCATAGCTTTCCTCTCATCTCTGCACTTTACCTCTTTATCTAGATCTTCGGAGTCTCGGGTACCGACGAGCCCTGGGATTGAGCTAGAGACAAGAAGCAAAAGTTTGCATAGTAATATATAATAAAGCTATCTTTAAGTAAAGCGGCGATCCCTCATTGCGCATACACAGGGATGTGAGGCTACACCTTGCCCCTTAGCCAATGGGAATTACTCACACATAGTGATCAAATCACAAGAAATTGACACTGTATAAATTATCACTTGAAGATGAATGATTCACAGTCTTAGAATGTTGTTGATCATGATAGAGTCTTGATTACATATAATAACACTAATGAAGATGGAGGATATGGAGATGGGATGGTTCTGATAGTTGTGTAGATGGTAATGGCGGGTACTCTCTTCTTTTTCGGAATCTCCTTTGCCGGTGTGTCCTTCTCCTCAATATAGTGCAAATCGGCGGAATTGTTTTGACGTGCTTCTATTGCAAATTAGACTCAACTCCCTTGACAAAAGATGCTAGGGATGACATCAGGAAGGCAGTAGCACCTTGTAACATGACCAATTTTAGTCGCACTGTGCGCTGCATGATCTTCTAGAACCTCTTGTGCGTGACCGGTTGAATGGAAATGATCTTCAGGTCCATCATATTCCATATATGTCTTGATTTTCCACCTAAATATATTCATTTCTGCAAGGAACAACATAAACAAGGAGAACTGCAATCATTTGTATTTATTAGTCATTAGTAGGCAAATCAAAGTGATAAAAAAATATATGAGAAATATCTGGTTTAAAAATGAGTGAAAAATACACTCAACAATACACATAAGTGTGTGTTTGCGAACCCGTGGAGTGGTCTGGGGATGCACCGGGAATCAATTCTGGGGTTTTGTTTTTTACGAAGGCGAAAGATACATGTCTACAAACTCTTCAATTTGTTTAGCCCATTTGGTTGGTCCGTGGGAAGACACCTTAAAACTTCCCTAAACTTTTGCGTAAGGGGCAGGGCAGACAATTTGATTTTATCGTGTGTAATCTGAAAGGAGTTTGAAGTTCGAATTTCTTGGGCATGAAGGACTCTCCTAGAGATACCAACAAAACTCTAAAAAATATTGTTGGTTAAATTAGAAATTTTCTGATTAATTTAATCCATAAAAAATCATGATGATAGCAATAGCAGTAGTAATCCCATACTGTTATGTAAACATGTGATCATGATCACGTACTAAGCACACATGCCATAGGTCGGCTCGGCACGAAACATGGCGCGAGGACCAGGGCAGGACGGGCGGCGGAGGAGGGCACGTGTACCACTCCTCTTTTGAAGCTCCAAAACCACTGTAGCACTAAACTTCCCACCATGCTATGAATCCCCACATGAGCTTTTGAGGGTTTTTTTTAGGATTTATTTCATGTATATGCCCAAGGTCCATCTATAATTCAACATTTGTTGAGTGAAAACATAATGGCTGAAGCTACGCGTCGGCTGGGCGAAGATTGGATCAGATCGGCCGCCTCGGCAGCCGGTGGATGGCGTGTAGGGCAGTCTAATCTTTGCCCGCCTCGGCGCAACGTTTGCAACATCGAGTGTGTTGCACTCGTGCCTTTGCAAGACGAGCCTTCTTGCATTCCTGCCGAATTGTTGTGTGACAGATCTCCGCCTACATTAGCGCAACTGTTTGCAACATTGAGTGTGTTGCGCTTAGGCCTTTGCCGCACGAGCCTTTGTTGCATTCCCCTCAAACCATTACGTGGCACTGTGGCCTGGTTTCTTTCAAAACAACAAATGCCATATTGACTATGTATGTCTGCATCAAGCGAGTAAATAACATAAAACTACTACTTTACAGGCTAGGGTTCCACAAAACTACCAAATATTTTTTTTGCTGATAACTATCAAATAAGTGGTCGGCTGTTTAAAAAAACCCAAACGCTCGTCACTAGTAGTTTAAACCATATTCTGACAGGGCGGACCCACTCCTAAACATTCTGTTTGTTTGGCTGTTTTTTTTTTGACCGTTATCTTGCATGTGGGACCACATGTAAGCTCCTTCGTCTTCCTCTTATCTTTTTCCTCTCTCCCTTCTCCTCCTTACCAAGGCCCGAAATCCACCACCTCTACCACCCCGCCGCACGCCAAGCTAGGGCCGACTCCGCGAAGGAGCGCTGCGCGAGGAGCAGCCCGCACCCAGGAGCACGGGCCTCCACCAACCACGCGCCATGGCCAGGGGCAGGGACTCGGGCCGCTGTGCCCAGGGGCTGGGCTGCCGCTAGCCGAGCTCCATGGCCCGGGGCTTGGGCGCCGCGCCCTGGAAAAAAGGGAGAGGGAGAGGACACACGCCAGGGAGCTCACGACGGGTGTAGGCGCAGCTCACCGGCACGAGGAGGCGGCAACCCGCACGCACGCAGGAATGGAGCTCCGCGGCGGAGCGCACTAGGCGGGCGACAAACGACAGGAGGGAGCTGTGCGGCGGCGCTGGAAGGGAGCTAGGCGCACCAGACGCCGCGACGGGAGGGAGCTCCGCAGCAAGCACGGCGACGGGTGCGCTCCTCTAGATCTTGAGCACGGGAGGGACCCGATGGCTTTTTTCAGTTTGTTTGTAGGACCCGATTGCGTTTCTAAAAGTTTAAAGGGACCTGATTGCTTTTTTAAGTTTGCAGGGACACTCACATGTGGGCCCCAGTTGTCATTTAATGGTTAAACAAACGGTCAAAACAATCAGTTTTCTTACATGTGGGCCCCAACTATCATAATCACGATCAATTGTAAAGCATTGGACAATTAGAGTTTTTTGAAACAGCCGACCCCTCTTTTGATAGTTATCAGCGAGAAAAATATTCGATAGTTTTTTGGAACCCTAGCCTGTAAAGTAGTAGTTTTATGCTCTTTACTCACATCAAGCCCATGTTGCAAAACGGGCGGTAGGTTTGCCTTGCGCTGCACGCTGTATGATCAAAATCAGACGAGCCAGTGCGGAGACGGCCACACATCGCGTCCGAATCATGAGTTCAAGGGGAGCTTCTCCCAAAGATAATTCACGCCTAGATCAAGAGGATCGCACAAAGCAATTATTCTGATTTCTGAAGCTGAGCATATCCTCACCAGCCATTCTGCAGTTGGTGGCAACCAAATGAAATGAAAATAATCTCTTCAGATCCGTACCTACATGACTTAAAAAACTCAGCACCTGCACCACGAGCGTGTCGTCGCCTCAACCAATATAATGCCAGTGCTTGCGCTGTCATCTTCTAGGGCCCTACGTGCTAGTCACTCCGCCGACCTTTTTGATTCTTTTATTTATTCTAGCTGCTAGATTTTTCAAAGATTATACACTCGAAACCCTAGCTAACCCACCAGCCAAAGGCCCTTCCCCTTGGATCGTGCATGATGGGAGCCATGGGCCATAGCCATGGTCATTCATTTGATCGTTTCTCTTTCGTGTTCTAGGGTCCATACGCTACCCTGTCGATAGCGATAGTGCGAGGGTCGTCACCCTCGCGTTCCACGAGAAATGACAGCATGAGCAAACACATTGCTATATTATATATGAGGCCTCCGTCCCTTATCTGCCAGATCGAAGTGAACAACCCGTACAGCAGAGAGAGATTGAGATTGTCGGCAATGGCAGGCCAGGCCGAGAAGGTGTTCGTCCCCACCGACGACGAGCTGCTCCAGGCGCAGTCGGACCTGTGGCGCCACAGCCTCTGCTACCTCACGCCCATGTCGCTCCGCTGCGCCGTCGACCTCGGCGTCCCCACCGCCATCCACCGCCTCGGCGGCGCCGCGTCCCCGTCCGAACTGGTCGCCGCCCTGTCCCTCCCCGCGTCCAAGCTGCCGTTCCTTGCCCGCCTTCTGCGCCAGCTCGCCACGGCCGGCGTCTTCAGCGCCACCGACGCCGGAACGTACCGCCTCAACCCGCTCTCCTACCTCCTCGTGGACGGCGTCCGCATCGACGGCGACGCCAGCCAGACCGCCATCGTGCGCGCCGCTGCCTCCCGCTACTACGTCGAAGCGGCCATGGGGATGGCGGACTGGTTCAGGAAGGACTTTGATGGACCTGTGCCATCGCCGTTCGAGGACGTGCATGGCGCGGCCATCTTCGAGGAGAGCATGACGCTCCTGGACCCGGAGATGGATCAGCTGATCCACGACGCCGTCGCTGCTCACGACCACATGGGGATCGGCCCCGTGCTCCGGCAGTGCCGTGAGCTCTTCGAGGGGCTTGAGTCTCTCACTGACTGCGGCGGCGGTGATGGGACGACGGCCAGGTCCATCGTCGAGGCCTACCCGCACATCAAGTGCACTGTGCTGGACCTTCCAAAGGTCATGGACAAAGTTCTTCTTCCCGCTGAAGAAGGAGCGGTTAAGTATGTTTCTGGTGACCTGTTCCACGTCGTCCCACCTGCCCAAGCCGTGTTGCTCAAGGTACTGTATATGAATGTTGCACATTCTTCCATAATTTCTATGTATTCCAAGTGAAATGTTAAAGCAATGATTAATTACTTTTCAATTCTGAAACAATAACAGCTTAAATTAATAAGAATCCCTCCCTAGTTTCACCCTAGCTAGTAGGGCTTGATTAACCTTAAATTACAAGTTTGTCCATGCATGGTCATGCAGCTTGTTCTGCACTTCTGGAGCGACGAGGATTGCATCAAGATCCTCGCACAATGCAAGAAGGCCGTTCCTCCCCGAGAAGCAGGAGGAAAAGTCATCGTCATAGACATTGTGCTTGGATCGGTTTCTGCAGGGCCAATGCTGGAAACCCAACACCTCATGGATATGCTCATGCTGGTGATGACGAGAGGCCGACAGCGGGAAGAGAAGGACTGGAGCGAGATCTTCACCAAGGCAGGGTTCAGTGGCTATAAGATTGTCAAGAAGCTGGGAGCTCGAGCTGTCATTGAGGTCTATCCATAAGGCTGTGCTCCCAAAGTAAGGTGCTTACATATGTTGTGGATTGTTGTGTGCTCGCTCTAAGGATGCATAAATAAAGGAGCGCCTTGTCATTTTTCAAAAAGAAGTCCTGGGTAGATCATTCAATAGCAAGGCGATTATGTCTTGTTACCTTATGATACCCGTGGAACTTTCTTTTTGAAAAAATAGTATCCACTTAGAGTGCTTTTCATATCCAATTACAGTGATTTTCATATATGTACCGTGTACAATATCATATACCATAAGATAAGATCACACCTTGTACTTGTTATTGAAACCTTGTCTTATTGACTATATGGTCCAAAAATATTGAGCAAATTTGATTTCTTGCCCTCTTTAGAGGCCTCTAGTTGTCTCTTTGTGGCTTGGAATGAAGCTGTGTTTTCTGGAGAACCTTTATTTCAGAATGAATTTTCTATATCCACCAGGTTCACCTCAGTACACTTAGGTGAGTCTTGGATCCTAACCAATACATATGGACCCTATCACGCTCAAAACTTAACTACTTACATTGACTGATTCCAAAATGTGCATATGCCAAATGATCATGATTGGTTCGTGGATGGAGATTTCAATTATGTCAGATACCCTAAGAACAAAAAAAGAAAAGGCGGTAATGCACATGACATGTTTGCTTTCAATGAAGCAATCAATTCCCTTGCTTTTTGTTAAAATTCCCCTTAGAGGCATAATGCTTATAATTACTTAGAGCAATATGCAGAGTGATCCTCTCTTGGAAAAGCTTGACTAAGTATTTCTCCTCTGAATCCTAGACTATCAATTATCTAAACACTATAGCTATTCCTTAGGCCAGGCCTATTTTTGACCACATCCCTTGTTTCATTTGGATTGGTACATCTATTCTTGAGTCCTCTATTTTCTGGTTTGAAATTTACTGGCTGCAACACCCAGACTTTACCGACACTTTTAAGAAAATTTGGAACCAACAAATTCATGAACATGATAGTTCCAAAAGAGTAACTGCAAATTTTAAAAGACCAAGAAAAGGTTTAAAACTTTGTTCCAAAAATATTTCTAATCTCTCTAGCACTATCAAAGATACCAACTCAATGATTTGATTCTATGACACTTTTAAAGAATTTAGGAATCTTGCAATTCATGAGTGGAACAATTAGACAAATCCTCCAAAACCATTTCCTTTAGCTTCTCTCACACCAACAAATATACTGGAAGCAAAGAGACATTATTATATGGGCACACCTGGGGGAAGCAAAGCAAAACAAAATCATGCAAAGTCATCAATTATTAGGAAATTATCATGTTCCTATTAAGAGATAAGCAGAGGCATTGAGCACTTTGAACATCATGCCAAGGCTGCTTTCCTTGGTAGATCTTTCAAGCAAAGACTTGGCTATGTTGTCCCAACTTTCAACCTTCCGAATTTGGATTCTTTGCTTACGAGAAATGATGGTCTACATTTTAGAGCAATCTTTCATTAAAGAGGAAATTGATAAAGCATTCAGGAATTTTCCCTCTCATGAATACGCAGGCCAAGATGGTTTAAATTCTGATTTTGTTAAAGCTTGTTGAGAGACTATTGCCTCTGATTTCTCTGCATTATTTGAGGAGCTTTACCATGGTTCAATCGATATTTAGAGCATTAACTCTTCCTTCATTACTCTGATTAAAAAAATGGCTATGCAATTTAGGATAATCATTTTAGACCTATTTCCTTTCTAAATTGCTCCATCAAGATGATAACCAAGCTTTTCGCAAACATGCTCCAAAAATTTATTCTTAAATTAGTTCATTCCAATCAATATGTTTTTCTAATGTCATGCAAGTGCACATTGTATAGTTGTAGCCATTTTGAAGTAATAGTCTCGATTGGACAGAAAACTTAAGAAACGGTCTTTTGCCTCCAATAGAGGTTTATCGGAAAGTGCATCAAATTATTTTAAATCCCAATCAAAGCGGTGTGAAAGTGAAAATATTGCAAGAGTGTGTGAACAAAAATTAAGGTGCACTAAAATGATAACAAAAAACAAGAGAGTAATAAAATAATGGAAACTATGGGAGGGCTAAAGGCATTCACAGGGAGTCTGGATTCACTACTAATATTTGATGACCCATAAGTATAGGCGATCTATCGTAGTCCTTTCGATAAGTAAGAGTGTCGAATCCAACGAGGAGCAGAAGGAAATGCCAAGCGGTTCTCAGCAAGGTATTCTCTGCAAGCACTGAAATATCGGTAACAAATAGTTGTGTGATAAGATAATACGTAACGGGTAACAAGTAACAAGAGTAAAAAAGGTGCAGAAAGGTGGCCCAATCCTTTTTCTAGCAAAGCAAAGCCTGAACGAACTCTTACTGTCAAGCTAGTTTTCATCATGCTCATATGATTCGGGTTTGTTACTTTGATAATTTGATATGTGGGTGGACCGTGCTTGGGTGCTTTCCTTCCTTGGACAAGCCTCTCATTTATGATTAACCCCTCTCGCAAGCATCCGCAACTACGAAAGAAGAATTAAGATAAACCTAACCATAGCATTAAACATATGGATCCAACTCAGTCCCTTACGAAGCAACGCATAAACTAGGGTTTAAGCTTCTGTCACTCTAGCAACCCATCATCTACTTATTACTTTCCAATACCTTCCCCTAGGCCCAAATCATGGTGAAGTGTCATGTAGTCGACGTTCACATAACACCACTAGAGGAAAGACAACATACATCTCATCAAAATATCGAACGAATACCAAATTCACATGATTACTTAAAACAAGACTTCTCCCATGTCCTCAGGAACAAATGTAACTACTCACAAAGCATATTCATGTTCATAATCAGAGGAGTATTAATTATCATTAAGGATCTAAACATATAATCTTCTACCGAATAGACCAACTAGCATCAACTATAAGGAGTAATCAACACTACTAGCAACCCATAGGTACCAATCTAAGGTTTTGAGACAAAGATCGGATACAAAAGATGAACTAGGGTTTGAGAGGAGATGGTGCTGGTGAATACATTGATGGACATTGACCCCCTCTCAAGAGAGGATCGATGGTGATGACGATGGCGATGATTTCCCCCTCCCGGAGGGAAGTTTCCCGGCAGAACAACTCCGCCGGAGCCCTAGATTGGTTCTGCCTAGGTTCCGCCTCGAGACGGTGGCGCTTCATCCCGAAAGCTTTCTTCTTATTTTTTCCAGGTCAAAACACACCATATAGCATAAGATGGGCGTCGGGGGCCTGCCATGGGGGCCACAAGGACGGAGGGCGCGCCCAGGGGGTAGGGTGCGCCCTCCACCCTTGTGGATGGCAGGTGGCCCCCCCTCTGGTGCTTTCTTCGCCCAATATTTTTTTATTCCAAACTGATTCTCCGTGAAGTTTCAGGACTTTTGGAGTTGTGCAGACTAGGTCTCTAATATTTGCTCACTTTCCAGTCCAGAATTCCAGCTGCCGGAATTCTCCCTCTTCATGTAAACCATATAAAATAAAAGGGAAAGGCATAAGTATTGTGATATAATGTGTAATAATAGCCCATAATGCAATAAATATCAATATAAAAACATGATGCAAAATGGACGTATCAATATTTATGTTACCAAATTATGTGAAAACACAATTGTTCTTCATTCAAATATATAATCCTCGTTATATGTTTATTGTGTGGGCGGAATCAAATAATGTCGTTACATGCATACAATCGTAGCTTTGTATCACACAAAATAGTGATCTAACTATTTATGACAATCATCATGTCACATTGTGACTGCCATGTCCCTTTTTATATTAAATCGGAAAATACAAGTATAGCAAAGTAGTATTTGTTCAAGAAATAACATATACTATTATGGTGTATTTGGATCTTGATGCCTCGTGTAATCTTCACATGTCATGGTAGGGAACAAAATTGCTTGTGCACCTTCCTCCATACTCTCAATATGGTGGCTTAATTTGGATCATGTTGATTGCTCGTGCATATGTATCAAGGGTTTGGATCGATATGCCCAACCAACAATATAAACATGCTTGTGTTTGATAATTAAATGTCGACATAATATTCCACGTGACCAATTCAACAGTTTGATTTGCAGAAGGCTCGCATTTTTCGATAAAGGGCGACATTTTTATCTCAAAATATAGCATCAAGCGGAAACAAAGCATTATGAGTAACACCCAGCCTCTACATAACTAAGACGCACATGGTCAAATCCAGAAGTTTGACAAAAAATCATGAAATAAAACCGACAAATCAGCAACAATAAAGTCCTATAGACCGACACTATGCCCATGAAGAGGAGCAACATTTTTTTCCATTAAAATCTAAATCATTTTTACATAACCAAAGCAACTAAATTAAGGCATACGCTCTCACCCTTATTAGCGTCTTGAACCTATTTGTCGTGAGATCTTGGAAAGGGTGCATTTGCTCGCTTGCTTATCTCCTTCAAGAAATTGCCTTACTTGAATATTTCGGGCTACATGTAAGTTGTGCCCTTGTTATTTCTACACACTTCACATTAAAACATACAGGGGCTCTACTGTTGTTAATTTAGCCAGCTTATCCACGCAGGGGCTTTCCAAGCTTAAGGAGCCTAGTGAGCTCACCATGACACCCGAGGATTTGACGTTTCCGAGGCTCTACAATATCGAAATCAACGGGTCTAGTGGGGAATCGGAACTGATGGAGCTCCTATACTTTCTGCTGAGAAGGGCACCCATGCTTAAGTGGTTGCAACTCAAGACACTTGCAATGGAGCCATGGTTCGTCAGGAAGGAGAGGCATAAATTGCAAGACGAAGAGAGGTGCCGTTACCCGAGAGAGGTGACCTCGACACACCTGGCTCCCAAGGTTCCGTCCACCGTGAAGTTCAGCATCACCTGACTTCTGTGCGTACTGAAATGCGTTGCGGCTGTTACATATCTTTGACAAACGACCGAGGTAACTTGAGGTTGTAGCATGTTATGATGGTCAGATCTTACTTTTGTAGTTCGTTC